CGCTGCCCCTCGCTCACCACTCCGCCCCGCTGCCAATGCTGCCCCCTTCTGCCCAGCGGCAGAGCCTGCCCTGCTGAAGCTCAGGCCTAGGCACCGCACCGCCTCTGCATTGGTAGTTTGTCCGGTGCTCTCTCCCTCTCTCACACTCCGTTTAGGGAAGGGGCCTATTTGTGCCCTTACAAAATTTGCGACTGCTATGCAGGGTACCCAATCCATTTTTCTTTGGTGCACACGGCCTTGTGAAAGAGCAACGCACAGGTTTTGGGCTTGAGGAATCTACTCTGCCTTTGCTGGAGTCACCCAATGGGACTGGTGCAAAAGACAAATGCTTAAAATGTATGAATTCAGAGCCCCTGTGTGGGTTTGGCGCACCAGAATCAAAGGGAGCGCACAGTGCTTCCCCCCAAGATTCCACTCCTGGCTGGGCCATCATCTCCTCAGTGAAGTTTAGGGCGGGGAAGGATCACAGGGATGGGAAGTGAAGATCTGGACAACAGATCCTGCTCTAACGCTAACACTGCTGTGAAAGTCAGAAGAACGGCGGGGCGGGGAGGAAGTTAATAAAAAGTTCCGATTTATTTAGCAACAGGGCGAGGGTGTCACAGCCATGCTGACATGCTGCCTTGGTGCCACGCTGCATCTCTTGGGTGCCAGACACATCTAACGGGAAGGGGGCGGAAGGGCCCCTGCTTTGCTTTGAGCTGCAATCAATTAGAAAGTCAAAGAGCAGCAGCCTTCGGGGATGCCAGAAATAGCTTTCCACTTAAGGGTGCTGGGATGCCTCTGACAGACTGACAGCCACGAGCCACGAAAGCCTTTATGGGGGCTGGCAATTCTGCTATTAGAAGGTGGAAACCTGGGAAGAGCAGCATGGTGACCTGCTTCGCTGGAGGCAGAGCGGAGAGAAACGGGGGCGGGGGGGGGAGCAGCTGCACGGAGAGTGGTGGGCAGGCGGGCAGCGCATCGCTCTCGCAAAACCGCACCATCGCTCAGCACATCGGTCAAAAGACAGTGGTGAAATGAAGGGCGTTCTAAAAGGTGAGTGTAGGTTTGACCCTCCCTCACCCTATCCATCAATCTTTCCACGCCTTTCCTGTGCCCTGCCTCCCTCTTCTGTCTGAGCACAGCAGGTGGTGAAGCTGCTTTCCCCAACTCTGCGCCCTCCAGGGGTTTCAGATGACAACTCCCAGGATTCCTGGCCACTGGGGCTGATGGGAGTTAAATTCCAAAACATCCAGCAGGCACCAGGTTGGGGAAGGCTTTGGGCCACGTTCTGTATCACAGGGATGAGCAGAAGAGATCGCCAGATACTGGAGACTTCAACTCCCAGCATTCCTTAGGATTGGCCATACAGGCAGAGGCATACGGGGGTTGAAGAAACCCACTTTCTAGCCAACCTTAGCTGTGCAGCTCCTTGGGTACTAGTAAAACGTTTTGATGGCCCAAGCCCCATTTGCTCAGATCACCAAGAAAAGTGTTGTTTTAGAGGATTTTTCATCCTTCAAAAACTTCTTGCTGCCTTGAAGGATGCATCTGAACATCACGGCCTCTTACAATTAGCTACACTGCCATGGGCCACCGTGGACGCCGCGTGATGTGAGCCCCTTGACAAGAGGTTACAGCTGTGACAGAAACCAAAAGCAAGTTCCATCAGATTTCCATTTTGCTTCAGGGTGTGCGGGAATCTGGCGTACTGGAGCACAGAAAGAATACACATCTGGTCCTGCTTAATCCAGACCATCACTGGAAAATATGCAGCAGGTACTGAATTATTGTTCTGTTAGAAAACCACAGCCAAACATTTGGCTGGCTAGTTCAAATCAAAATGTAAATGGCAACGTCTCCTCTGTTCTTTGGCTTCTAGCTCACAATACACCCACACTTCCGAGTCCCCGTTCAAAATTTGTCAGTGCTGGGCGACTGCACATCACTCATCCTTTCCATTCCTCTATGGGGCCCTGCTCCCTAACATCGACCTACACATGGTGGTCGTGGGGAGGGAGCTGAAGCAGACAAGCCATCCCTGGGGGAGAATTCCAGTCCCCGTCCCTCGTCTACACTGGCAGGCAGCAGCTAGCCAGTCATGCAGGCAGGATTCCTTCCTAGGCTTATGCAAAAACTGGACCGGGTACCTTTGGAACCAGGTACCACAAACCAGGGGCTCAGTCATGGAGCCGAGCAGCTCCTCCCCTCGAAACAGAGGTCAGATTCCAGTCTGCACGGTGCTCAGTAAACGCCTGATTGAAGCAGTCCTATCAGCTCACACGCAGGCCGCACCTAGCCCAGTATTACCTACACTGACCGGCAACAGCTCTCCAGGGATTTCAGGCGGGAGGCTCTCCCAGCCATAACTGGAGATGTGAGGAATGGAACCTGGGGCCTCTGGTGTGCCGGCACGAGTCTGACCCCTGAGTTTCAGCCTTTCTTAATGAAAGAAACACATTCCTGGCTTTGGGGAAACAGCTGGGTGAGAAAAGGCCCTTACAGATAGAAATTCTAGCATGTCAGGGGCCAGAGAGGCTATTCAGATATTCTCTCCCCCAGGGAATGGGAACAGCTGGATTAAATGGGTAATTAAAGGAAAGGACGGGCAGTTCGGAGCTACTCATCACAGCTCCCTATTCAGGGAGCCTGCGCTTCGGCACTCAAGTTGGGGAGGCAGGCATGACACCCAGCTTTGCACCTTCAATTAATAAACTGCAGGCATGGCCAACAGCCACAAGCTGGGGCGAGCCAATTTAGAGATCTGTCTTGCTTTGATTGGCTGGTTGTGGGGTGGGGGGGCTGTGCACGGCCCACCAGCCGGCTCTAAGATCTCCGCTGGTGTATCCTGCCAAGCTGTCAGAAAATGGTTTAACCAGTTGCAAGTGATGCAAACATAAAAAATTACAAGAAAAGCAATTACACGCCTTTGCTTTCCATTCTTTCGCTTTCATAGGCCTGGCCTCTGCAACCAAGTGCTGCTCCACGAGGTAGCGAGCTCGAGGTGGTGACGAGGATGGTGACGGGGTTGATCAAGAACGGCCGTCGCGATACACGACGGGCGGGGAGGGTCTCAAGATACAGCCGCACTCCCTGCCCCCCCATAGTTTTCTAAGTCTTCCCCCCCCCCCCCCCAGAGTTTCCAGGGAACACTTGTGTTAATTTATTTTAGCAAGGACATTGAAGAGTCTTGCGGCACCTTACAAACTAACAAATTCACCTCGGCATGAGGTTTCACGGACAGCGGCCCACTTCATCAGGAGCACGGAGTGGAGAATTTCAGGTTTACGTGCAGGCCACATGGGCAAGTGGGTTGTAACCACCTTTCTGCAGTCAGAAAGCAATTAAATGCAAGACGCTAAAATCCCAGGCCGGACAGCGGTTGTTCATGCGGCATTTACCTTCATTCTGGCCGCAGCATACAACCCACCTGCCTGCCACCCCTTGCGGCTTCTACATAAACCTGCAATTCTCCAGAACGCCCCTTGCGTCAGATGAAGTGGGATATAACCCAGCAGTGCTTCCGCCAGAACAAATCATCTCCTTAATAAGGGACTGTCTAATTCAGCTAATTGCTGGCAGCTAATGCTTCTTCTAAACATACGGTGCAGCAATGTCCAGCAGTTGCTTCTTTCTGTGAGGTTATTACAGAGATAAATTTTGTACTGGAACAGTCTTTAATAGTCACCGACATAGGCACTCTTTTAAATGCAGTGCTTGCTTCATGGAAAATACCTTGTAGTCAGCATAAATGGATCCTCCGTGCCTTTCTGACGGCTAAAATACTGATATTGTGGCATTGGAAGGATAAACGTTGACTTCCCATAACATGATGGATGGGGGAACTTGTAATGCATTTGAATGAGTGGCACATGGGCACCACCTTCAAATATGTACTTATTTGGATATCTGGTCCACTTTTGTTGAAAGCCTTGTATATGTGTTATTAAGCTGAATTTTTATAAAGAAACACATGCATTATTCAAGATCATGAATGGCGCCAATTTACGCACTCATATTTAATAAGCACCAAAAGTGGGGAGGTCTTTAAGGTGCTGCAAGACGTTTGTTGACATCTTCGCAGAGGAAGTTTAGGACCTGCAACCTTTACTTTTAACTTCGGAGACTGTTGGGGACTGCCATTTCGTTTCCAGAGATGAAGTGGCTCATTTCTTCCCTTACAGAAACGACACTGCACTGCCAGACATCCTTGCAATGCAATGCCTCTTTGTCCCGCGCCAATTGTAACATTCATTAGCATTCTGTGACAAAGGGCTTCCCTTTTCCTAGGTGGTGGTCCATCGCCATGCAGCTGACCGCTGCTTGGTTAATCAAACCCAAGAAGGACTGGTGGGTGGGACTGGGGGGTGTCAGCAATGAAAAGCCTCGGCCGAAAGAGAGCTGGGAGTCTCTCTGCGTGTTTGGAAGGGATACCAGTCAGAATACAGGGAAGGCCTCGTGCACATTCTACGCAAGAGGAGGGGGCAGACACAGGGCTGTGCGCAGCATCTGACAAAGTGGGAGCATGCGCTGGTACTGCACTGATTCCTGCCTTGAGGATGGGACTGGACTGGGCTGGACTGGACTTCCGAGATCCCTTCCAACTCTTATGATGAAAGCTGGCTGAAGTGGGGGGTGGCAAGGCCTCCCTCCCTCCCTCCCCCCCCACCCCGGATCTGATGCAAGCAAGCAGATCCGTTGCCTGGACGGGGTGAGTGCCGTGCTTTCCACCAGCCGTGCTACGGTTGCGTATTTGTCAGTACAGCAAGTACGACCCGCCACGGTGCCACATCTCTCTGGTTCACTCTCCTAGGAAAGGGAACCAGCTCCCAATGCCACTGGCCACCCTGAAACGTCTTGTGGCTTGGAGAAGTGAGGCACACGCGCCACCAGAGCAGCCCAGGCCTGGCTTTGAAGAGGCATGCAGTCACCCAAACTGCAGGCTCCGTGCAATGGCGCAACCTGCCCTCACGGGCCTCGGCACACGGACGGAGGGTGGTGACGTCATGGGAACGTACCTTCTTTTCATGATACTAATATGCAGATCCTCCTCTTGCTTGACATCCAGGGGGTGACCATTCACCTTGTCGCTCTCCTCACTGTCGTCACTATGTGAGAAAATGGAGGGCAGCTCCTTCTTCAGAGTCCTGGTGGGAGGCAAGGGGATTGTCCTCTTCTCGGCCAGACGACCCCGGTTCTGCAAAACGGGGAAAGCAGGAGCCAGAAGAGGAAGAAGAGGAGAGATGAGTCAGGTGCCTCAGTCAAGGTGAGCCTCTAAAAGCGATGCAGCAGGAGAAAAATATGCACCCGTCGGCTGGGGCTTCCCTTCTCTGAGCAAGGCTGCCTGCCTAGTCCTACTGGAGAGGAAAGGGATCCAGAGCCTCTCTGCCGGCCCTGCTGACGGTCTGGGGCCTCATTTCTTCCTCCCTCCCCATTCCTTTCTCCACGTGCAGCGTGCCTTCTTGAAGCGAAAGCTTACAAGGCAGAGGCTGCCTGTGTTTTGATGACTCATTGCCAGCCATTCTAAGAGCCTCTTCGGGCTGAAGCAAAGGATGCAAATACTTTAAACCAATATTAAATAAATTGAGGAACAGTGAAAGAAAGCAGCAGAGGAAGAGGGTTGCACAGGGAGAAAAGTAACATGTGTAGAAGGGTCCAACGCCCGCCCACCTACCACTTCTGCCTTCAAAACACACCTGCCAAGCCATTTTGCACATTCACAAACAAACAAACAAGGCAACAAACTGGTGCCACAAGGCTACGAAGACTGTGAAGCCATTCCCTGGGAATCAGAGCTCTGACACTGGGAGTGTTGACTCCCTTGCCTGGTGCTTTCACAACGGATCAGCAGAGCTCCCTCCCTCCCTCCCTCCCCACCACCAGCACCATCCTTGAGGCATTAGCAGAGCACCTCTTCCCAAGGAGCCGCAATTTATTGTATCAATTAGAGCCAGCGGCACGCAAATTGCCAGCACCTGACATCCACGGGACTTTCTGCAGTGGGCCTCCAGAAGCTATGGAGGACGGTGCCAACTGGCTCATAAAAATCACTTAATGGCCATTATGGTACCTGAGAGCAGTTACCCAGTCGCAGTGGCTGCCCAGGGACTCATCAAGCTTAACAAACGGCATGGGCGGAGGGGACGGGATTGCAACGGGGAGGGGGCAGAATTATTCCAAGTCCCATGAGCAGAGCCCCAGGGAGAACCCTCAAGAATCCATGCTGAATTGTAAAACCTCCTTTAGCAGAAAAACTCACACGCGGCAAAACTCAAGTTCATTGAACGCTGGAGGAAAAACACGAGCATTCATGGCAATAATACCATGAACCATAAAGCCAACCTATTCTATCAGACCAACGGGTGGCTGTTATTTCAAATACAGCGAACAGAATGAAAGGGGTGTCGTTGGCTGTACGGCTACAACGAGCAGCTACTGCAGCTTGAGCCATATTAAATCTCTACCCCGGGCTCCTCTTGTCTTCTGGATCTGGCACAAACTTCTCGGCCTTACCTCCGAATCCCTCCGCAGCCTTGTTTTCCCACCCAACCCGCTTATGTCTCTGTTCCCATGAGCTCCAGCTTCAAGCATGGCCACGACTGGGTTCCTGCCAAGGGTCCGCACCACAGCAGGGGCCCCCTGACAAGCCCCCTGGACTTGCTCCTCCTCTCCACTGACCCACCTCTAGGGCACAGGAGAAAGTAAGAAGCAGTTCTATCCAGCTTCTGTGCATGCAACCCCTCCTGAAGGTTTGGCATGGAATATACACATATGAGATCTGAAGACAAAATTCTGACATAAGTGCCTAACAGCAGCTAAAACGTAGGCACACTTTAAGAAGTTGAACTGCCTGTGAATATTCTCTTGCTAACACAACATCCTGAGCAATTAGAATGTTTATGAATGTTCCGTAACCTCGTAACAGCCGGCTGGGAGAATTGACCATTGACTAGCAGTGACCAGTCTTGCATCTCAGTTACCATAAAAACAAACAAACAGGAAATCATGGTTTCCTAGTCACTAGAAAGTATGTGTTAGCAAAAACCTTGGCTGAATTCAAGGACAGATTTTAATTCATTCTAATTTGTCTCCTTCTCAGGGACTAGAACAGAAACCACAGTATAGATCATGCATCCCAAAAGTTTCAGTTACTTGACCAGTATCCTGCCTGGGAAAACCATCACCGCCACCACATACAAACGCCAAAAAAATAATAACAGTATTTTAAGAAGGAGTCATAACGTCTTTCACTTCCAGGACAAACACCAAATCAGCCCAAAGGAATTCCCTTCGGATGTGGCCTCATTTTATAATCGTGTGATCCTCTTCTACTTGCGCAAGGAAGCAGGAGAAAACTACCTTATTTTCTTCCTTCTCGACATTTTTTGAACCACAATCTCTCTCTCTCTCTCACACACACACACACACTCAGTCTGAAACAGAAAACAGTTTAAGTGTTTAAACCAAGAGGTTCAGGGACAGTTTCCTCCCAGGAGCCTCGCCATCTGTTTCGATCTTAAACAGGTGTTCCCCAGTTACAGATGTGTTGAATGACAACTCCCGACACTCCCACACTTGTTGGGGTGATGGAAGTTGTGCTTCAGCACAGCTGGGGGGGCAGAGGGCTTTTTCCTTGTCTAAACGTGCACGGGATCACACTGATTAATTGCTTCCATGTCTAATTCCTAGGAGCGGATAGTGAGAGTAGATACAACCCAGCAGCAACAGAAGCACTGTGCCCAATCTCAAAGGTCCCCTCTTCTTGACAAGTAGGTTTACATCTCGCACGGGAATATGAACCCTGGGCACGGAAAGCAAGTTCTAGTTCCAAGCCATGCTCAAGGGAAGCTCTGCCAGTGGATCGCCCGTGCTGGAAACATCAATGCGCTGCCTTCTTCCCGGTTTCAGGCATACACAGAGGGCCTGCAAAGACAGTTCGGGGTGCACCTCTTCTGGAGTATTCCATTCCATTCCTCTTTCCCACCTCATTTTCCACGCACACAGCCAGGTAGCATCCAATGGGCACTGAGCACACTAGTTCCCATTGGACGGTTTTGCAGAGTTCCACCCATTGGGGCAAACAAATACGTTGCGAACGGCCAATAGATGTACAACCCACAAGCAGAAGCCGCTGGGAGTCTTACTTGGAAGAAATACTGAGCTCCAGAAGGTTGCTTCCACATGATCCTGTTGCAACTGTTTGGGGGGCTGTATAACACCCGCTTCCACTTACAATCGCCCTGTGTTTCCCACCATTTCGGCATCTTCGCCCGGAAGGAAAAACGGAATAGTGCTATCAATCCAAAGCCAGTGGGCAGCTAAGAATGATCCATCTGTTAGCGCCCAAACTCTTCAAAAAGGGAGTGAAGAGGTGCTAAAAATCCAGAATCTCCCTCACACAGAGAGAGGCACACAGTGTGCGAGAAAGGCAGACATATGTGGAAATCAATGGGGGTTTTTGTTGTTTTCATCCCCATCTTGAGTAGAACTCTGGTTTCCTAAGAAGATGCATCAAGGAGGAGAGACTCCTGCCCAGGACAGCCAACAGAGGTTAGCAAAATTCTAGGACGAAACCACCCTCCACCCACCAAACTAACCCCTTTAGTCCTTGTTCCCATGAGCCACACAGTCCGAGCGAGAAAGAAACCGGAGCATTTTTTGGCAGAATAAAGAACCGCAGTGGGCTTGCAGATGGAATGAAGGGGTGGAAAGTACAGGCGCAGGGGGGAGGGTGGGCTAGGAAAGGTTCCCTGTTCTCAGAGGGAAGGTCAAAGCGTATAAACGCCCTGGTTGTGATGTAGTACAGCTGCCAGAAAAACGAGGAAGGATTCCTTCCAGCAGGTCCCTGGTGAGCATTTAATTGATCCCAGAGATGCAGAGGCCTTGGCTAAGGCAGAATATGCAATGTGGGGAGGAGAGGAAAGATCAGAGAGAGAAGCTTTCACAAGGCTGAGCAGTCAGAAATATTGGATGACAGAGCGCAGGGCAGGGGGAAGCGAGCTCTTTCCAGAAAGAAGGGCTGTGTCTTCACAGGGAGAGTGGGCCAGAGGTCTAGGTGGCCCCCTGAAAAGGGTCAACACCCCCCCAGCCCCCCCCCAGAGACTCTTGGAGGCCAGGGGGCCCTTGAGGGCACTGCATCCAAATCCTCAGCAGCTGCGTCGCCAACCAAACGCTCCCTTTCACCTCCTCAGCAAAGTAAACAACACTTGTTTGCATGCTTGCAGGTATGGCAGGTCTTTAGCACGTCTGATCACGGACACAGTCAGGCGAGACAAATTTACAGAAAGTGTGCCTCATGCACACACACACACGGGAATTGGGGGAAAGGGTAAGAGAGTGGCAGTCTATACAGGGGTCGGGGGGCCTCAACCTGAAAGCCCAACAGGCTAAATGTATCCGCCTTTATTTATTCATGCGTCTGTGTAAAGCCTCTTGTGTCTGCAGGTATCAATCGACGTGGAGGACCCCCCCCGCCCCCCCGCCAGTGCCAGCCACCTCACCTTTCCTCGTGGCAGGGCCACTTCCAGGAGGGGCTCGGCCACTGCTATCAGCCACCACAAAGGCACTGGGCGCTCACAGAAGCGCAGCGTGTCGAGGAAACCCCGGACATGGGCCGCATTTTGCTCTCCTGCCCTTGACACAAAGGTTTGGTTGGGTTCCCCAGACATGGGAGCCCTGGCTGGGAAGCGAAAGAGAAGGAAGGGTGAACAAGTCTTTAATCAGAAAACGGCATGGCCAAGGTGGGGGAGTCGCACGGCACGAGAGGGGCCGGCCCTCGGTTCGCTCCCCCCATTGCCGGCAGCCTTCTCTTCCTCACGCCGGGCTTCATAGTAAGCCCCTGCCTCTCCCACCGGCCTTCATTACACCTCCCAGGCCGGTGGGCTCGACATGGCTGATTGTTTAGATAGCAAATCCAGGCTGGGGCCGCCGTCGCCTGACTTCCCCGGCGCTTAGAGCAGCTTTGCTATTAAAACTTGGGCCACTGATAAAACAAGCTTTCTGGGCCCCGCACTGTCCCTGGCTCCAACGCGCAAGCACTGAGCCAATGAATAAAAGAACAGGCGGCCCTCGCTTTCCTGCTCTTGGCAGGCTCTGCTGTGGAGCGGGTTTTCCTCATCACCTGTCAGAAGCAGCCTAGTTCCTTGCCTGGCTGCTAATGTGGCTGACTGCTTACGCCGCTGGGATGCACAGCGCAAT